AGTTAAGAAGCACACTTTGTCTGTAGGAGATCGAAGTTCAACTCCCTGTTTCAAGGACTATTTAATTTTTTATACAAATCAAACCACTTTACCAGGACTGAGAGAGATAGAGAGCTTGTGCAGAGAGCATTCTATAGGCCCGTGCACTTGTTTCCAATGTGGGAGACTGAAGATTTCTCCCACATCAGGAGGGGGGATATTGAACATGGGTCTTACACACACACTCACACACACACTCTAACCACAAGGTTAAATACTATAAAGGGGCGGGTTGGTGCCCACCATCTAAGTCCTGAAAGATTTTGATTGATTTTTTTGCAGAAAATATTCAGCTAATTTGAGTTAAATGAATTCATGAATTAGAGCTACATGCCTCCAGCTTTCATCCAAACCACATCACACGATCCATTGTCTATAGCCAAGCTCTAAGATACAACCGCATTTGCTCCAATCCCTCAGACAGAGACAAACACCTACAGGATCTCTATCAAATATTCTTAAAACTACAGTACCCACCTGGTGAAGTGAAGGAACAGATTGACAGAGCCAGAAGGGTACCAAGAAGTCACCTACTCCAGGACAGGCCCAACAAAGAAAGTAACAGAACGCCATTAACCATCACCCACAGCCCCCAACTGAAACCTCTCCAGTGCATCTGAAAGGATCTACAGCCTATCCTGAAAGATGATCCCTCACTCTCACAGACCTTGGGAGACAGGCCAGTCCTCACTTACAGACAGCCCCCCAACCTGAAGCAAATACTCACCAGCAACCACACACCATACAACATAAACACTAACCCAGGAACCTATCCTTGCAACAAACCCTGTTGCCAAATCTGTCCACATATCTATTCAAGGGACACTGTCATAGGACCTAACCACATCAGCCACAACATCAGGGGCTCGTTCACCTGCACATCCACCAATGTGATATATGCCATCATGTGCCAGCAATGCCCCTCTGCCATATACATTGGCCAAACTCTATGCAAAAGAATAAATGGACACAAATCAGACATCAAGAATGGTAACATTCAAAAACCAGTAGGAGAGCACTTCAACCTCCCCAGACACTCAATAACAGACTTAAAAGTGGCAAGACTTCAAAAAAAAAAAAAAAACACAACTTCAAAAACAGACTTAAATGAGAAAATGCAGAACTGGAATTAATTTGCAAACTGAACACCATCAAATTAGGTCTGAATAAAGACTGGGAGTGGCTGGGTCACTACAAAAAGTAATTTTCCCTCTGCTGATACTCACATACTCTCTCTTGTCAACTGTTGGAAATGGGTGACGTCCACTTTGATTGCATTGGCCTCATTAGCACTATAAAAGTAATCAACTATGGGGAGGAATAGCTCAGGGATTTGAGCATCAGCCTGCTAAACCCAGGGTTGTGAGTTCAATCCTTGAAGGGGACACTTAGGGGTCTGGGGCAAAATCAGTACTTGGTCCTGCTAGTGAAGACAGGGGGCTGAACTTGACGACCTTTCAAGGTCCCTTCCAGTTCTAGGAGATAGGGTATCTACATTATTTAATTTATTTATTGAGAATAGGCCACTTCCATCTTAACTGAATTGGTCTTGTTAGCAGTGACCCCCCACTTGGTAAGGCAACTCCCATCTTTTCATATATATACTGCTTACTGTATTTTCCACTCCGTGCATTTGTTGAAGTGGGTTTTAGCCCACAAAAGCTTATGCCCAAATAAATGTGTTAGTCTCTAAGGTGCCATGAGGATTCCTCATTGATTTTCCTGATACAGACTAACGTGGCTACCACTCTAAAAATTGACAACAGAGGATCCTAATCAGTGGAGAATGAATGTCATTCACTTCAGTGAGCATGGAAGAGACCCAGAACCACTCAAAAGATGTTAAGCTCCTTGCAGAATTTGTTCATGTACGGATGAATGTATGGATGCATGAAGCAGAGTGCTTTACTGAAGTGTGTGTCTGGAAAAAAACATTGTTCATAAAGAATGTCTCTTACAGTATCAAGTTTTGTATAAAAAAGGTGTATTAAACGTGTGAAAGATTAATGCTGAAAAGGTATCAGAGAAACAGAAAGAAAGAAAGAAAGATGAAGTAAGGTCAACGAGGGGTAATCCTGTTCTCAAGGACTCAAATGGGCCATGTCTAAGGGCTGGTCTACACCCAGCCGCTAGTTCGGCGGCTGGGGATCGAAGTTCTGGGTTCGACTTATCGCGTCTGGTCTGGACGCGATAAGTCGAACCAGGAAGTGCTCGCCGTCGACTGCGGTACTCCAGCTCGGCGAGAGGAGTACCGCGGAGTCGACGGGGAGCCTGCCTGCCGCGTGTGGACCGCGTCTGAACCGCGGTAAGTTCGAAGTAAGGTATGTCGACTTCAGCTACGTTATTCACGTAGCTGAAGTTGCGTACCTTACTTCGACTTGGGGGGTTAGTGTAGACCAGGCCTAAGAAACTATATCAGTTCATCTCTATTTTACTATATGCTAAAATTTGTCCTTTAAGCTTCTATGCCTGTTTCTGAAAGCAACTAGTTTAACAATAGCTTTTCTCAGGGACTCATTGACCTCCTTGTTTCTCAGGCTGTAGATGACAGGGTTGATCATGGGAGTCAGGACTGTGTAGAAGACAGAGAATAGTTTGTGTAGGACCTTATGACTGTTGGCTGTTGGCACCACATAGACAGTAATCAGTGTCCCATAGTAAACTGTAACCACGATGAGGTGAGAGGAGCAGGTGGAAAAGGCCTTTTGCCTCCCTGTGGTGGACGGGATTCTCAGGATGGTGGCAATGATATGAATGTAGGATGTCAGGACCAGTAGACAGGGCACAAATGTCCCTATGGCAGAGACAATAAATGTCAGCAGTTGCACAGTCTGGGTGTCATCACAGGACAGCTTTACCACGGGTGAAAAATCACAAAAGAAATGGTCAATTTCTTTTGAATCACAAAACTTTGATTCGAACAAGAAAATATTTATTGTGGTGCAGCCTAGAAAGCTACTTATCCAGGACCCTGCCACTAGCTGGCAACAAATCTTGCCATTCATCAGAGCAGCATAGCGGAGTGGATTGCATATCGCTAAATACCGATCATAAGACATTGCCGCGAGCAGCAGAGATTCTGTAGCTGTCAGGATACCAAAGAAATATGTTTGCACAATGCAGCCCTTAACAGAAATGGTTCTGTCCCCAGTCAGGAGACTGGCCAGCAGCCTGGGCAGGATGGTGGAGGTGTAGCAGATCTCCAGGCAGGACAAGTTTCCTAGGAAGAAGTACATGGGGGTGTGAAGGTGCTGATCAGTCACAACTAGCGCAACAATGAGGATGCTCCCTGCCACAGTCACAACATAGATCACTAGAAACATGAGGAAGAGAAGGGGCTGCAGTTCAGGGACATTCCCAAATCCTAAGAGGATGAATTCTACGATGGGTGTTTGGTTTCTTCCTTCCGCTTTCTCCATAATATATATCTAGAAAAAGAAATCATTAAGTATTTATGAAGTGCACACAGTCAGGTTGTGCTGTCCATTACACTAGGTGAAACCAAGAGCAGGTAACCTCGTACCCCGGCATCGCTCTACTGGAAAAGTTAAGTTGGCAATAAACAGAGGAAGACTCATATAATTAAGAGGTTGAGCTTCTAATATAGGTGAACCAAGAGCATAGAACCCTATTGAATTACTGAAATGTCCCCTCTACCTCCCTTAATCTCTCTTGAACTTTAAAGAAAGACTTTTAGGCTGGGATTTTGGAATATCTTTATCCTATCAGTGTCATATCAAGAAATCTAGAAGACTGTAGCCTATATTTGGATAATATGGGAATTTAATTTATTAATTTATTTTTATTTGATCTTAATAATAATATTAATAATTATTATCCTTAATATTAATTAGTATGGGTTTTAGGCTCACCAATCTGTTTGATCAGAAGATATAAGTTCTTGTCCTGAATCAGGCTACACAGAATTTATAAAGGACCCTCGGGGGTATGACAGGAAGCTCACACTGAGACAGATATAGCCTTAAAGACTGTTTATTAAAATTAATAATAGTAAGTAAATGGTAAAATACCCAGAGCTACAAAGTTACAATTGCATTACTGCTATTCAAAAGATACATATGATAATATAGTATTACATGCAACAAAGCTTTGGTTAACATACTCACACCCAGGGCTGGCTCTAGGCACCAGCAAAACAAGATGGTGCTTGGGGCGGCACATTTTTAGGGGCGGCATGGCCGGCGCCAGAATGCCACCCCTGCCGCCCCTAAAAATGTGCCCCGGCCACCCTAGCTCATCTCCGCTGCTGCCGCTCATGTGCCACGGCGCCCGAAACAGCTGATTAGCGCACCGCTGCTCCCCCTCCCTCCCAGGCTCTCAAACCTGGAAGGGAGGGGGAGATCCTGAGTGGCCGCGGTGCGCGAAACAGCTGATTCGCTGCTCCCCCTCCCTCCCAGGTTTGAGAGCCTGGGAGGGAGGGGGAGACTCCGAGTGGCCGCAGCGCGCACGCCGCTTCTCCCCCTCCCTCCTTTCCTCCCTCCTAGGCTTGAGAGCCTGGGGGGAGGAGGCAGGGCTGGGGATTTGGGTAAGGGGCGGAGTTGAGGCGGGGCCAGGGGTTGGGTAAGAAAAAAACGGGGGGGGGGGGGGGCCAAAATTGTTTTTGCTTTGGGCTGCAAAAATCCTAGAGCCGGCCCTGTTCACACCCTTCCTTGATAACCTGGTGGTAAGAGACACAGGCCCAGCCTTGTGGTTCAGGTTCCTCAATTCTTGAGTGTGGGATGCAGTGCTTAGCAAATGCTAAGCGCTATCAAAGCTGACTAGGGTTTACTTGACTAACTTAAACTTAAAACAAAACCTAATAAACAAACTAAGAATTAAACGTAGGGAAACCAAGCTTAGCCTAGTTCCCTTGAAACTTAAAGTTTAAGAAGAACAAGTACAGCCTACAAATCGTAGCAGTCATTGTAGATAGATAGAGTGGAGGAAGTAAATGAGAATAGAGTAAAGTGAGAACAGATATAGTGAGAAATCAAGATACTCTATTGAGGTGGGTTACCTCTTTCATAGGGCAAATGCCGGACATCCTTCCTCTTATGCCGAGATTTCATTCTGCACCCACAGAAATGTTAGGGTACACTTACCCCATAGGCTAATATGTATGTGCATATTGATGACAGGTATGAACGCACATCAGTCTCTTGTGGTGTACTTGATAAGTCTGTAGGAACCCCCCCCCCCATGCCATTTTCCATTGTCTATTGGTCAAGATAAAAGGTCATAGACATAGGGGTGGGTACTCAGCTATTTAGGTAATAAGATATAGGTCAACTTTGCTTTCTGAGTAAAAGGTCTTAATATAGACATGCTAACTTTGCCTTAGCTTAACATACAGGATATGGCCTGTAGGTCTCTTGCATTACAGCCAAACTGACTTTAATATAAATCTATAAACCTATTACAATAAACCACATACTTAAACTATAAAAAAGATAGATATATATATACACAAGCAAGCAGGTTAGTCCTATAGGCTACAAGACATAACAAAGAATCAATAGATTGGAAATGAAAAATATTTAGAGTTTAGGCATGGATACGTCTCCCCTGCATCTAGGAGGTGTAATTCCCAGCTTGGGTAGACGCACATGCACTAGCTTGGATCAAGCTAGCAAGTTAAAATTAGCAGTGAGAACATGGCAGCACACGCAGCCCTTTGCGATGGCCACCTGTGTAGGTACCTAGGATCTCAGATGGGATTGTGCTCGGGCAGCTAGTCTGTACTGCCGAGGCTCCACTGCTATTTTAGCACAAAGCTCAGTAGCTCAGTCAAAGATAGAGTGTGTAAATTTACCAGAGCAGGAAATTACACTTGCCACATGCAGTATAAACACACCTTATAAGGCACATACCAAAACACCGAAGAGACTGAGGTTTGCATGAAGGTCTATCCAGCTGTCCTCTATCAGAGCAGATTCAAAGACAAATTTGCACCATTTGATAGATGCAGCTAAGAAACAGACACAGACATACAAAAACCCACCACAACCGCTCCTAAACACACACCATGGGTGGTTTCCTGTTCACAATTACACCAGGTTAAATTGCATCAGTTTCATGTGGATTTACACAAGAGGAACTGAGATTGGAATCCATCCGCATATAAAGAAATGTAAGTGAAATAAAATTGAAAACTTAAGAAGAGAGAAATAAAAGAGTCATTTTTATCCAGAAGGGAGAATGTGCTTGAAGAAAAATGAAAAACTGGAGAAAAAGAAAGAGATATATAGACAGAATGAGTTAAAAATACACACACACACAGAGATTGTTTATTTCTCCAAATGTTATGAGCAATAAAATATAGACATGTTTAAAGAGAAGTAGCAGATCCTTGCTGTTAATGCAAAGATATCAGAGCCAATAAGTCTGAAATCTCTTCCTTGCTTTTCCCCCACACATTTCTTGATGTATCATACCTTCTGATCTCTTCAGCCACTGACTAAGGTTGTGCCCATATAAACTATGTCTATACCGGGTATGGCAATGGTACATTGAAAGAAAAATGGAAATCCAGAAAAGCAGAAACACACACACGCACAAAGGAGAGAGCCTATTTTGTTTCAAAATGTTTACGAGCAATAAAATTCACGTGGTAAAAAATAAAATACACACTCAAGGAGCCAATAAACTAGATAAATTCGTGGAGGACAGGTCCATTAATGGCTGTTAACCAGGATGGGAAGGGATGGTGTCCCTAGCCTCTGTTTCCTAGAAGCTGGGAATGGGGGACAGGAAATGTGTATCTTTATTGCTGTATTGTAAAACATGAATGTTGTCTATGATTGTAAATTGTGAGAGTGGGCAGGGGAGACATGGATCCTACCCATAGCAGATGTGGATAAAATAACTGATGCTTTTGCCTGTCTGGGGCCTGAAACAAACCCCCTTGTAGTCAGGGACTGAGAGTCTTTTCCTTAACAACAAAGGACTTTGGATCTGGCTCATGATTATAAGATACAAGATGCTGGAGCATATGAAGCATAATGAGATAAAGAACGGTTTGGCCTATATTTTGTATCTCCTAACAGAGTGACAACTTACAGGATAGGGGGCTGGTTGGTGCTGTGAAGTTGACTCGTGGGGAAGTACAGATTTGATGTTGTGCACAAACCCAGTCCAACAGATACCATTCTCTCTTTAATTATATTGCAACCAATACAATTTTACTTAGTTTTGATGAATTGTAGAGTAAATCCCTTCACCCACTTTGGTTCATTATCAAATATATTCAAGAGACCAGATAACCAATGTCAGTCAAGTTTATTTCTATAAACCAGTAATAATATGATACATTAAAAAGGTGATGGGCTACAGGGGATGGATCACTTGATGATTACCTGTTCTGTTCATTCCCTCTGAAGCACCTGGCATTGGCCACTGTCAGAAGACAGGATACTGGGCTACATGGACCTTTGGTCTGACCCAGTTTGGCTGTTCTTATGTTCTAAATCTGAGAACCATTCATTGTTCTGTCTTAGGCATGTTTAGCTATAGCCCATCTGCGATTGGTTCCCCCTGGCGTGCTACCTGGAGCTAGGATTCCACTGAGCCCTCTGACCCACCAGTCTGGGCTCTTTCTCACACTTCCTCCAACATTCACACAGGTAGGGACACACCTAGTTGCAGTTACATGCAGGCTCTCTGATCAGCCACTGCATGAACCAACAATAGAGAAGCTACAGATAAGATAACCACCAGCTCCCCAGCCTAGGACCCCAGAGCTGTACCACCCTGCCCTGGTCAAAACACCGACCAGTGTGAATTTGTTACCCGGTTCCCTCTCCCTGAGTGTGGAGTGGAATATGCACACTTGTGCTAACCAAGCTGAGATTTTCCCCCAGTTAAAGGCATACTGGTTTAAGTTAAACTACAAACAAGTTTATTAACTACAAAAGTGATTATTAGGGATAGGAAACAGATCAAAGCAGATTACCAG